AGTAGTGAACATAAATATAATAATAATAATAATAATAATAATAATATATCCATAATACGATAATCCAATAATATGATAGTTAATATCCAGAGCACTTACGCTGAGAAGATAAGTATGTACATGCCTTTGGCGGACGAAATCAAGTGCCTCTGGAAATTGGACAAAGTAATAACTTCGCCAATTATTATTGGAGCAACGGGGGAGATTCCTGTGAAGTTGTTTGATAGTCTTAGGAAGATCAACCTTAGAGAGAAGCTGTTTCAACAATTACAGAAAGCAGTTTTGCTAGGGAGCTGCAGGATTGTAAGGCGAGTTCTGGGTGATGGATAGTTACCACCAACCGAAAAATTAACCTGCATTTTAAACTTCAATTTTAAATTTCTACTCCAATTTTAAATTTTTAACTTCAATTTTAAAGTTTTAACCTCAAATTTAAGTTTTTTTTTACTCCAATGTTAAAGTTTTAATCCCAATTTTAAATTTTTCACTCCAATTTTAAAGTTTTAATCCCAATTTTAAATTTTTACTTCAATTTTAAATTTAAGGACTCTCCTTTGCATTGAATTGCCGGGGGAGGACTAAATATCTACCGGCCTCGAGCTGTGAATTGAGATACGAGAACATAATAATAAATAACATAAATGCATCGACATAAATCAAACTAGAAAAAGGTCCGAATAATTAAAACTGGAAAAAGACGCAATTATAAAAAAACAGGAATTTGGTTTTAAAAAAAAATAAAAAAAAATGAGAGAGTCAAAAAAACGAGAAAGTTAAAAAAAATGAAAGAGAGTTAAAAATAAAAAAAAATAAAAAAATAAAAAAAATAAATAAATGAAAATGAAAATTTGAAATACATGAATATGAATATCTTGAGTGCAATTAATAAAGAATTTGAAACATAAATTACACGATGAAATAAAAAATAATAAATAATAAATTATGGTAAAATATTAAAAGAATCCGTCAATAAACAAACATGTTACGGACTCGGAGGCCTGCGATAGTTAAGAGATTGAATTTCGGGGCCCTTCCGTATCAAGCCTGGCTGGTCTAGCGGTAAGTTACTGGACTACGGATTGCAACTTCATCCCGAGGCGTGGGTTCTATTCCCGAGTAGGGCGGCGCGGATTTTAAGGTTAGTCACAACTCTACGATCGATCAATTTGAAATGACACATGTGCACCATCGAAGGAACGTTAGTACCAAATACATCACCTAGAGTGCGCGCTCTCTAGATGCAATACTTTCAGAACATTGATTATTTTTAAATTGATCAACTGATCGGATATCTACTGATGTCAACTGACGTCAACTGACAATTTCTACGGACATCAACTGATCAGATACCTACTGATGTCAGCTGATTCTTTCGCACCAAAACACGGTTGACGATCAACTGATAACATCTCAACTGATCATTTTTACCAGGGTGGAGAGTAGGGTGTCCCACTTTGAGGGTCACCTCTGAATTTTGATGTTGGTACCCTCTAAATCGTTGACCCCACTTATAAAAATAAGATTGCACTAAAGACAAAAATTCTAAAAAAATTTTTAAGGGTTGCGCACGGCCAAAAACCACCCCCCAAAATAGGGTAAATTGCAGAATTTTGCCCATTTTGACGATTTTTTTTAACAACATTGTAATTGAGCTAGGGCTCTGAAAATGTCACGGTAAGAGCATATGTTAGGGTACTTTAAAGACAAAATTTTGTTCATGTCATCATGCGTTTCCATTTTTTGCTATAAATCCTCAAAATCGGCTAAAAACGCGAGAATTTCAAGGTTTTGTATTTTTGCCTTAATACGATTTTTTCAGCTGGCAAAGTGAAATTAAACGCGAAACGTACCATTAATTGCATCTTGATACTCATTTTGACCAAAATTCATACTTCACCTTATTACCCCTTCCCCCTTATTTTTAACCGTTAATTCAGCGTTTCCTAAGTCGCGATAGGTGCATGGGATTTTGTTTCTTTTTCCCATTGGGCCATGGAAGATTATATTTTCATTCATATTCTTACATTTTAAATGTCGACGTAATGTTTCATTAAAGTGGTACTTACTTATGAAAAATTTAAAAAAAAATAAATTGTATTTTTGAAAAAAAAATAATTTTATTAAAATAAATGGGAATGGGCCCAAGCGCCAAACAATTAGAAATAGCACCATTCCTTTCTTCTAAAATACTTTAATAGAAGCGCCGTAGAAAAAGAAGAAAAACTGACTGAATATGCTTCAAAAAAACGAGGTTAGTCTTTCAAAAAAAAGTGGCAAGGTGCCTAAACAGTAGAGGAAATGCATGATTACTTCCTCTTTGAATACTTAACAACTGGCGCATCAGCGACAATAATAGGACAGTTGATCCCTCTGTTTTCGGAACTGTGGCTATTTTTCGGCATCAATTTGATCCAACAGAAAGTGATTTGAAAGGCCTTCAAAAAGTTTGCTTATCCAGTTTACGATGTTTAATCTTTGCTTAAGAAGTTTCATGAAAGAAGATTCAATAGGAATTCATGTGATGCAATATCTTAATATTTTTGTTGTTATGAAATCAACCATATGATAGGATGAAAATAGGTGTAATTCAGAGTCATTTTTCACTAGTTTATTGAGATAATTATCATTGCTCTCTTTAGTTACGAAAGATTTAACTATCTTTCTTCCTATGCTATTAGAAATGAATTAATCAAAAACAGACAGAGGCCCCCAACTGTCACTAAGATAACTTTAATGCCTTAAAAAAGTGGCCAATGTAGCCTCTGATACACTTTTATCCATACTATTTTACGGAAGCAACTTTTTTATAAAATACAAATCATCTTGAAGGGCAATTACTGGAAGCTGAGGTTTGTATCAGCAACGATTTAGCATCTTAAACTGAATAAGCAAACTTTTTGAAGGCCTTTCAAATCACTTTCTGTTGGATCAAATTGATGCCGAAAAATAGCCACAGTTTCGAAAATAGACAGATGAACTGTCCTTTTATTATCGCTGAAGCGTCAGTTGTTAAGTATTCAAAGAGGAAGTAATCATGCATTTCCTCTACTGTTTAGGCACCTTGTCACTTTTTTTTGGAAGACTAACCTCGTTTTTTTGAAGCATATTCAGTCGGTTTTTCTTATTTTCCTACGGCGCTTCTGTTAAAGTATTTCAGAAGAAAGGAATGATGCTGTTTCTAATTGTTTGGCGCTTGGGTCCATTCCCATTAATTTTATTAAAATTTTTTTTTTTTTCGAAAATACAATTTATTTTTTTTTTTTAAAAAAAGGCCACATCATGCTCTCCCATTTTTCATAAGTAAGTACCACTTTAATGAAACATTATGTCGACATTTAAAATGTAAGAATATGAATAAAAATATAATCTTTCATGGATCTACCCCCCTTCCTTGGGGGGTAAAGAGGAAGTGACGATCCCAAAAGTCGCGGTCCCCGATGAAATTCCGATTTGATTGCATTGAAATTGAAAAGTACGAAAAATGTCACGTAAAATTGACCCCTAAGAATCCAAAATCGGACCACTTATCGCCCAAAAATGATCTCTCAAAGACGGGGACAGCGGCCCCCTCCATAATTTTCCTTTGGTCAAAAATTGACATAGATTCTCCGAAAAAAGATGATTTCCCAGATAATCGACCCCAATGAATCCGATATTCATGGTCCCGAAGCTTCCCTAGCCTTCCTTGGGGGGGTAAAGGGCCCGGCACAATGTCTCTCGACTTTTGGGATCGTTGCCCCCTCTTTACCCCCCAAGGGGTACATGAAAGGTTTCGGGACCATGAAATTCAGATTCCTTGAGGTCAATTCCCTATTCGACCCCGCGGTCCCCGATTTCGTCTACCTAAACCAATCGAGGAAAATACGTGGTACGGGTGGTCTGGGACACCCTGTATAACGAAGTATAAAAACATATTTATTTGAGGGAAAGGGTGGGGAAGGAGAAAATATCGATAATTACAGCCTACAGCATGAATATAAGGCCCTAGCGGTGGAACAACCCCTGGCTCGCCCGCGCGGGATGGAGCGCCGCCGATATGCCGCCCGTGCGAAACCGGGAAGGCGTAGAAAAATCGCTATAACTCAAGAACGAATCTTTTCCTCAAGGTCAAAGAGAGTGTGGCAGATGCAGAATTTCATGGAGAATCACCTCAACAGGTTTTTATTTACGTAGCAACGACCATCGCCTGGAAAGGAGAGACAAAAAACGAAAAAAAGTTGAACCGTCAAAATCGAAAAAAATCGATTTATGACTACGATAAATTACGCAACCTTGCAAACAATCTTGTAGAGAATATTTTTGAACGTTTTTTAGCGCAAACCGCAACATTTACACTCAAACCGTTCGCGAGATATCGATTTTTAAAGTTTTGAAAAAATTACAACTTTGCCCCCTTGCCCCTCACCCCCCACTTATCCGAGGGGTCTGAAATTTTACCCAAGCATCGGCGTTTTTGGAACAACCTCTTTTTGAAGAAAAGCTCAAACGGAAATGAAACATTTGTATGCTTCAATGAATGTGCCTGACCCTGATGAAGGTGATTCAGTAGCATGACAATGATAGAACTAACATAATATGCATTTCTTTTGTCCTGTTTTAAGATTGTTTCTGATACTTGCGTTTTTTCAGCTACTAAGGAATACATTTTCAAAAATACTCAAATATTTTCTTTAAAAAGAGAAGACAAATTACAAAGAATTCTGTGCAATATTGCTGATCAGTTGGTAGTGATCATCATTTGAGTCAGCAGAATGTTCAGAAAATTATGTATGTATTGTTTCCCATTCTTTTTACCCTCCTCTTCCCTCCTCTCTTCTCATTGGATGGATGGCGGGATGACTATTCTCCGCTGGATCGATATTATTCCGCAGATTCTTGGCTACTTTCGATTACTTCTTAATTCGCAATCCCAGCCGATAGCTAATATTGGCATCGCAGCACTCTGTTTGCCCAATGTGGTTTTTTTAACCTGATTAAGGTGACAAGGCCACCATACTGACCTATTGGTTATATTTGGCAGAATAACGACAACTCTATGCCAGGAATCACCTTGATCACCAGAACTCCAAAACAGGGTGGATGTTAATTCTTCTTTGCCTTTGATGACAACCACGCTTAAACTTAATGACCCAGCATGATGACCATAATGATGAAAATAGAAAGTGATCTAGAAAAAAAGACAACTTTCTTGGTATATACTTTTTTTTTCAAACACCTTGAGCAGATTCATCATAATCAAATATGGACACATAATACTTGCGTATTTTCAGCTACTAAGGAATACTTTTTCAGAAATACTCAAATGATTTTTCAAGAATATGGGTACACTAAAAAAAATAAGATTTCTAAATCACCGATTCAGGCAGTAGCAAAATTAGCCGCTTTCTAAAGCATTTTTATCCGTGCACGGTGTTGCATCAACTGAACGATTCTCAAGAATCGCTACACCGATTTGCTCCATCAGGCCACGTACGTTCACTTAATCTTGCATCGAGTGGCTTGGAAGTGTAACTGCATTTTTTGCTATTAGTGCATTATGAACAGTAAAATTAGCTCAATGAGGGGCTGAAATAGCAAATACAGTTTAAAAATTTTGCTAATCTTTAAAATTGTATTTATTTCATTTATCTAATGTATTTCTATTATTTTATTTAATTTATCTGAATGTATTTTATTTAATTTATTTTAATGTATTTTATTTAATTTATTTTAATGTGTTTTATTTAATTTATTTTAATGTGTTTTATTTAATTTATTTTAATAAATTTTATTTAATTTATTTTGATGTATTTTATTTAATTCATTTTGATGTATTTTATTAAATTCATTTTGAAGTATTCATTTTGATGTATTATATTTAATTTATTTTGATGTATTTTATTTAATTTATTTTCATGTATTTTATTTAATTTATTTTCATGTATTTTACTTAATTCATTTTGATGTATTTTCTTTAATTCATTTTGAAGTATTTTATTTAATTCATTTTGATGTATTATATTTAATTTATTTTCATGTATTTTATTTAATTTATTTTCATGTATTTTATTTAATTTATTTTCATGTATTTTATTTAATTTATTTTCATGTATTTTATTTAATTTATTTTAATGTATTTTATTTAATTTATTTTAATGTATTTTATTTAATTTATTTTACTGTATTTTATTTAATTTATTTTAATGTACTTTATTTAATTTATTTTAATGTACTTTATTTAATTTATTTTAATGTACTTTATTTAATTTATTTTAATGTATTTTATTTAATTTATTTTAATGTATTTTATTTAATTTATTTTAATGTATTTTATTTAATTTATTTTAATGTATTTTATTTAATTTATTTTAATGTATTTCATTTAGTTTATTTTAATGTATTTTATTTAGTTTATTTTAATGTATTTTATTTAATTTATTTTAATGTATTTTATTTAATTCATTTTCATGTATTTTATTTAATTCATTTTGATGTATTTTCTTTAATTCATTTTGAAGTATTTTATAAAATTCATTTTGATGTATTATATTTAATTTATTTTGATGTATTTTATTTAATTTATTTTCATGTATTTTATTTAGTTTATTTTAATGTATTTTATTTAGTTTATTTTAATGTATTTTATTTAATTTATTTTAATGTATTTTATTTAATTTATTTTAATGTATTTTATTTAATTTATTTTAATGTATTTTATTTAATTTATTTTAATGTATTTTATTTAATTTATTTTAATGTATTCTATTTAGTTTATTTTAATATATTCTATTTAATTTATTTTAATGTATTTTATTTAATTTATTTTAATGTATTTTGTTTAATTTATTTTAATGTATTTTATTTAATTTATTTTAATGTATTTTATTTAATTTATTTTAATGTATTTTATTTACTTTATTTTATTATGTTTTACTTAATTTATTTTAATATACTAAAGGGCTCCGCCCCCCGGCGGCTTCGCGGCCCAAACCCCTCGTAGATTCTGTCAAATTATGATGAGAACATTACTTAAATTTTCTTTTATACATTATTGTTGTAATTTTCATTAATACTACTAAAGTTCCTTTAGATGCTTATCTATTCAAATCATTCATTATCAATTCAGCTAAAAACTTACCTTCGGTAATGGCATAATTTCCCAAATTTAGTGATGTAGGTATGTTTTCGCTTGATTTAATTTGAGGAAGTATGTGCATGATTGTCATGTTCATGACACATACTTCCACAAATTTTTATTCGAAATTTAATCAATTTAAAATCAAATTCATCGTTACTGCAAGGATGAATGTAACTGAATTAGTTTGAACTTAGATTAAACGGAATAAATGCAGTTGCATGTATCAAACAACTGTATAGGTTGTTTATCGATCTTCGATATGTCGTTCGATAAAAAAGCAGGATTGACTGGGATAAAACTGGGTTTTTTTATATTAACTGGTTTAAATGTAGGAATTTTGAAAAAAGGGGCATAATCTTCCTGGCAAGCAAGGAGCCCAACCCCAACCCCTCGGGACTGCCCTACCTGGCACCCAAGGGACCGTGGTGTGTTTTATGTGTTTCGTGTGTTGATGTGTTTAGTGTGTGACTTTGTTGATTTTAATTCAGAATAGAGGGATGATACCGACATACACACTATCATAGGTCTTCAAGTTTCATCCATTTACTTAAAACGACATTCTATAATTTAAAACCAGATATAAATTGACATTTATCAAATTCTATACTAAATAAACTCTCAGGCTTCCTTCATTTTAATATCTAGTAACGCTTAGTTACAGCTCTTTACCGGACTGATTTTTATGATTTTTGCCGCTATCGACTGGCAAGTTTGATGTGTTTGGAGTGTTTTGTGTGTTTGATGTGTTCGATGAGTTTGATGTGTTAGGTGAGTTTGATGTGTTCGGTGAAATTGATGTGTTCAGTGTGGTTGATTTGTTTGGTGTGTTTGGTGTGTTTGTGGGAAGTTCTTCAGCCCCCTGCTTAAAATAGAACGATATACCAAAGATCGATATACAAAGAGCGATATCCTTCCTTTTGTTCCGGTTAATGAATTTAGGTACATCTCATTTCATTGATGACTATCCTGATTAGGTAAAATTCCTCCCGTTTGTCCCGATTCATATCAATAAATCCCGTTTCGTCCCTGTCAATCCTGCTTTAAATCGAACAATATATCGAAGATCGATTTAAAAAAAGTGATATCCTTCCTTTTGCTCCGGTTAATGAATATGGGTACATCCCGTTTTATCGATGACTAGGTATCCTGTTTAGGTAAAATTCCTCCATTTTATCCCGGTTACCATAATTACATCATGTTTCATCTCTTGCCGCAATCAGACGCTGAATTTAGCAGCTGAATGTGGAAGTCAACAGTCATCGCCCAACGGCTGAAATTTAGCAAATTCGAGTTATTTTCATCCAGATGTGTATTAAATCTACTCGAATAGTTCAGACAAATTCAAAATTGGTCCGATGGTTGCTGAGAATCGTTGCTGAATTTTGCGCGTCACGCGCAAAATTCAGGCCGATGACTTCCACATTCAAGCCACATTCAGCTCCCACATTCAGCGTGTGATTGCGGTGTCTGTCAATCCTGCTTTAAGTAAATCTAACGATACATCGAAGATTGATATGCAATGAGCGATATCCTTCCTTTTATCTCAGTTAATATCACTAAATCCCGTTACATTCCTGTCAATCGTGTTTTATTTCGAACGATATATCGATACATCAATATACCTAGTGAGGGGTAAGATATATCGCCCGTTTGATAACATTCACATGACATTTTTTTAAAAAACATACATGACAAAAACCTTACACAGTGAATAAATTTCATTGCTAAACACAAAAAACCCCCAAAAAGGTCAAAATTTTGAAAAGGTGAAGGATCCTGCCTAAATGGGCCTCCAGATGCCAGTATGTATTAATGTACAGCACTACATGTTTTCTCTTCAAAATTCCACAAGTAAAACAAATCACACAAGGGGCAGGTTGGTGCGCCGAAGGTGGTGCTGAGATCTTGTGGTACAATTTTCCTCATTTAAAACCACGTAAAGTGACTCGAATATGCGAAACCATTTTTCATTTATTTTTTCTTCGGAATGGCTTGAAACTGCGTCTAAAAAGGTTTGTTTTTCAAAATTTTCCGGGTGAGGACCCCCGGACTCCCCACCAGACCCCCCTTCCCCTGTGGCGGCGCCCTCAAAGTGTCTGTCCCGCGCCCCTTTGAGGGTCCCAGTACGCCCCTGGCTGGAAAGCGTTTTTCTAGTATTACAGCCTTTTGACCCCTCAAATTCTACGGATATGAGTCCATTTCTTTCAAGGCTTCTCTGAGCGATACCAAGTGTTTACGCATTTACTAGCGGAAAGCCCGTGACTGAAGTCATGGGTCTAGGTGCCTCACCAAAAATTATTAATTTAATAACGGGGAGCGTTAGGCCCAATCCATCGACGAAAACGGAGATGTACACTGAAAAAAAAAGTTCTAATTTTTTTAACTAATGTGGAATAGTAGCTGCAAAATGTTTAATTTAACTCCCTGTGGCTTCAACTTGACAATAGCGGATCATCTAATTTAACAGAAGAGACATGTGTTAAAACTAGAAATGACAAGTTGCTTAAAATGACCATCCAATCAGTTGATGGAATAATGTGTGTGGTTACACCAACAAAGATACGAGTGGATTTAATAAATCTCAAAGAGTTTTAGTGACCAGAGGAAATTGTTTAAAACAAAGTAAAATAAAGTATTAAGACAATAATTGCAATAGTTTCTTCTACCGTTTGCTAAGTTATACCGAAAAATATATTTTCCGAACCAACGAACTACAAATAGTAAAACTAACCAATTCTCAAAAATGCCTCCAAATGAAGAGTTAGGCAAACAACAGTGGGCGCTATTTGTCATCCCATCACTCCTATCCTTTGTTTTTCTTTGAAAGTCAACAAATGTTTATCCTCCTTTAAATCCTTTGCACAAATTATGAGATTAATTTTATGCATACAAATAAAATCCTAGTCTTCATGCCCAGTTCCCTTGCCAGGAAATGTTGATACAAGAAAGAAGGTAGATATTTCAAAAGAAAAGCAAAAACCTTTTAAAAATATTAGGATGCGATTTGCATACTTACTTTTTATGAAACGATTATTTATAATATGTAGCTC